AGTTCTTGGGGCAGATTTAAAGATTAGCAGAGGGAAAAACAATCTTCTCCAAGGGCCTCTTAGGACGGCTAAAGGGAGAGGCTCTACTTTTGATGGCAGCTTTCAGGCGGGCAGTGCAGAACAGCTCTGGTCTGTGTCTTTTTGTCCGGTGTGCTGTGTTCCCTGGTGTGTCTTTGGGATCTCTTTTGCCTTCTCCCCTCGAGGCCCTCACCACAAGCATGATGTGTTGTGTTTCGTGTCCCCCTGTTTGTCACGTTCTGTGTCACGGGTGTCTGCACTTTTTTGTGCCAGAGCTGTTTTGCCCTGCTGCAATAGGCCTGCTGCAATGGGACAGGCCTGGGGAGTTGAAATTTGTAATGTGGGGTGTACATGGGCTCTAGATGCTATTCCTAGATTGACATAAGGTGTTTGCAGCTTGTGAGTTATCCTGGTGGTGTTTGATGTACTTTGTAACTTTCTTTCAGGTGCAGATGCATTCCATGTGTGGCAGAGGGTCAGGGTTAGGAGGTGCTGGGCCTTCCTAGGAGCGTGGTGAGTAGCAGACTGGTGGGGTTTTGGCCGATTTGGTGGCAAGACCAGACACTGATGTTTGGTTTTCTTTAATACAGCTGTCTGGGAGACACCAGCCCGGTGCCAGCAGGACTTTCCTAGGTGCCGATGTGGCCTTTCTTTGCACCTGAGACCAGCATCCCCTGATGTCTGAGAGATAAGTGGAGGGCTACGGCCCACAGAGGGGATGGAAGCAGAGTGCTTTTTTGGGAATTACTGGGAGAGGTTCTGGTGTGTCGGGTTAATGAACTTCTATGGTTTAATATAGAGGTGAAAATAGAAATAAATATACATTTAAAAATAAATATGAAATTATAGTGGTAGACATAAATATAGATAACAGATACTTACATAAAACTATAATGTATGGTATATAATTGTAACATTTTCATGTAGATAAATGATAGTCTCTTATATATATATACACAAAGATATATAAATATACATAGTAAATATAAAAATATTTAAATAGAGTTAAAATAAATTGGGGGGTTTTTTTAGGTTATAGGCCGGGGTTTTTAAATAAATGATAGAAATAAAATATCAATTCCGATATACAAATATATATACAAATGCAAATCTCTGTAACAATTTATTTAAAGAAATATAAATAAAAGAAATCTATAATACAGAAAATATATATCTATTATTATATTAGAAGGTATTCTCTCTAATATATATAATATCTATGAATAAAATAAATTAAAATATCCATATGAATATTATTTTAATTTTGAAAAATAAATTTACTTCCTACATTTTTAAATCTGGTTCAAATAAAGGGGTGTCCTTGCTTTTCCTTTGGTTAGAGGCAGGAGTTTTATTTTAAATAATATAAGTAATATAGAAATGTGGATCTTAAGATAGAAATATGTAATAAATATATAAGGAGAAATTGCTAAAATATGAATATAAATTTATATATAAATATATGTAAGTAATATGAAGAGTTGTAGTGTAGAATGTAAATAACATTATGCGGCAATATAAATTATAAATGGGAATATAAATATAAAAATATGTAAATATAGCTTAAAAGAAAGGGAATGTTTTGGCTTTTATTTAAGTAGAGGCAGGGGTTTTATTTTGAATGTTCCAGAAGTAAAAATCTTGAGGCAGAAATATTTAATCAATATAAAAAATATGAATAAAAATATATAAAAATTCATAAATAACTACTCGCATCAGATGTAATATAGAATATAAATTTATTTTTAACTTGACATTGGTAAAGATAAATGTATAAGTAAGCAATAGACATTAATATACCTTATAAATACAAATATGAATATAAAAATTGAACTTTAGGATAAAGTCTATTTAAATATTGTTTACAACAAAGGGTTGGGGTTTTTTTTATTCCTATTGTGTTAGAGGCAGGGTTTTTATTTTAAATAATATGAATGTAGATATTATTGTTATTTATTTCGAAATATGGAGATATACAATCGAGATATAAATATATATATAAAAACACAAAATATAAAGAAATACCAATAATAGGAAGAGATGTAATGAAGAATACAAACAACAGTATACATAAGTGTACATTTTAAACGTAAATATGAATATGAACCTGAAAACTAGAATTTTAAAAAATATTTTAATAGAGTTGAGAAGAAAGGGCTTCTTTTTGGCTTTAATGTGGATGGAGGCAAAGGTTTTATTTTAAATAATGCAAGTGTTACAGAAGTAAAAATCGTAACAGAAATATATACTTACTATGTAAAAATATGTATAAAAATATACAAATAAATTTAAGTTTTAGGGATATATGCAATATGGAATAGAAATGTATTTATAAAAAGAAATGTATAAATGGACAGTGTACATCAATATCCATTGTAAATAGAAATGTCAATATTAATATGAAAAAACTTTTAAAAAAATATTTAAATATTTTTTAAAAGAAATTGTTGGGTTTTTGGGGTTTTTTTTGTGTGTTGTGTTTTGTTTTGTCTTTTATCCTATTAGATTAGAGGCAGAAGTTTCTTTTTCCTCTTCCCCGTTGTTTTGGGGCATTTATTTCAGAGCAGTTTTCGGCGGGGGCCGCCCCTGTTCTTTTTCGCCGCCTTCCCTGCCCGCAGCCCCGAGGCGCGCTGCGCCCCCGGCTGGGGCGTGCGGCAGTGCTGCCGCCTTGTGGGCAGAGCGCGGTACTGCAGCCCTGCACTGAGAGGCCGCCACCTTGGGAGTGGCGCGTCACGGGTGTCGCGGACTTTTAATTGACCTTCTCAGCATGGCGGCGAAAAGGGCGGGGAAGTGGAGGACCGGGGTGGGTGTAAGTGGACTGCCTGCACAGAATACTGACGTCATGGCGGCTCCGACGGATTTTTCTGTGGCGTTTCATGTGTACCCGACACATGCTGTGGGCTCAGCGGCGCCGCGGGCGGGGTAGTTTGGCGGGTTTGTGCCAGGCATCTGGGTTAAACGCCTCGCTGTGCCGGGGTCCTCTGACGGCCGCTTTCGCGCCCTGAGGGAGCCGAGCCGGGCCGAATTGTTCCGAAGAGCCGAAGAGCCGAGGGTGGCCGAAAACAGCCGAGTTGACCCGAAGGGCCGAGGGAAGCCGGAAATAGCCGAGTTGACCCGAAGAGCCGAGGGTGGCCGAAAACAGCCGACTTGAACCGAAGAGCCCAGGGCGGCCCAAAATCGCCCAGTTTACACCAAGAGACCATGATAGCCGACTGGAACCGATAGCCGAGTGTAGCCGACACTGGCCGCATTTAGACAATGTGCCCAATATGACCGAGTTTAGTCGAACCGTGCCGAGTTCGGCCGAAGAGCCGAACTGAAACGACTTTAGACCAAGAGCCAAAGCAAGCCGAATTCAGCCGAGTTTCATTCAACAGAACCGAACAACGCCGCAGCGCTGTGCCTGCAGTGCGCCTGTGCAGGCGGCAGGGATCGCTGTGCCTGCAGTGCTCCGGGACAGACGGCAGGGGGCGCTGTATAAAGTAAGTAGAAAATATCAACTCTCTATAAGAAGGAATAAAAGCTCTATGTCACGTGCAGCAGTAGAAAATTTCAGGCTCCCAGGGAATAAATAGTTTTCTTTAAATCCTTTTCGTTTTGGAGGTTTTTTTTTTTTACTCCCAGGTAGCCTGATAGTTTCTACTGCTGTTTTTTTATTCTAAAGCTAGAAAGGTAAACCAAGATCAGAAATACAAGAAAGGGAAAGGGAAGGGAAAGGAAAGGAAAGGAAGCGGGAGAGCAAGAGGGAAGGGAAGGGGTGAAAAACAGAGTGAAAAAAGAAAAAAGGGTTGGAGGGAAAAAGAGAGGGCATTCGGGAGGAGCGGTGGTGCCTCAGGTCCTTCCCCGCCCAGGGGTGAAGGTCCTGTTTGATGCCCGGGAGGGACTGCAGGTCCCGGCGCTGGGGGACGGAGCCGTGGCTGTCAGCCCGAGACTACAACTCCCGGCAGGCCCTGCTGCCGGCGCGGCGCGTGACGCAACGGCTGACGCGGCACATGAGTGGCTGGCGGGCCAGGCGGCCTGCGCGCGGCTGTGCGCGGGGCGCTCCCGGCACCTCTCCCGCGCGGGGCGGCGACGCTGGACGGGCGAAGCCTCCGTCCGGCCGCCCGCACGGCGCCGAGCAGCGCGGAAGGAGCGTCCGCCCGGTTCCTCGGCCTCACTCGGCGGGGCAGGGGGCGGGGGGCGGGGCGGTGCTTTGCTGCCGCGGGCTGGGAGCTGCGGGAGCCGCCCCGGGCGAGCACGGCGAGCACCTGTGCGGTTTTTTTTTTTTCCTCTAAATCGGGAGTAAATATAGCTGAGTAAAATTAGCTTGGTTTTGTTCCTTCTTTTTTAACTGAATTGTTTTTATTAAAAATCCTATTTGAATGTGTAGAAAAAGTGGGGGTGTCCTGTAATATATTGTAGCTTTTCTTGTTTACAGGGTACTCAGAAAATACGTCTCCCTTAGAGTCCCACAGAAAGGTTCTCAGTGCGATCTCTATCAAGGTATGTATTTCCAAATAAGTGATCCCTTTAGGTATTTGCCTGTGTACCTTTTCCTGTTATTCAGAGCTTGCCTTCTGTGGGTTTTATGATAAACCTGTAAAACCGGTTTTGCAAGTCTTAATCGTTGAAGGCAGCATAGAGCCTGTTCTTGACCAGACAAAGGGAAAAAGTGTGACTTTCAGGCTGAACTTTTTCATTTGACTTGTCATTTTTCATTTGACTTGTCTTGAATTATTTAAGAATAGAGAGAACTAGAAAAAGAGAGAAATAGAATTGGTTATTGAGCACTCCTCAAATGCTCACCATGATTCAGTGTAGAGCCAAAGGGCGGGGTGATGGAACAGAACTCTGTGCTTTAGAAGGAAAGAAATTTAAACCTGACCTCCACAGAGTCTCACTAACTTCTGTTGTTTTAAAATACAAAATACGTTCAGGAAGTGTTGGAAGTTAGTATTTTGGGAAAGAAATGGCAGTTCCACAGAACATTCCATTTAACAGTAAATTGGAGGAGAGCCCAAGAGAAATTTTTCATCCCTTGATAGAAAAGGTAGGAAGTGACTTTTTTTGGTTTGGTTCTTTTTTCTTTATTATTTTCTGGAAATAAAAGTAATTAAGTATAGGTACTACTGGTCTGTTTCTTCCAGTAACAGGTGATAATAATAGTAGTAGTAATAGTAAAAATAATAATAGAAATAATAATAACAGTAATGTAATACTACTTAAACTGTCTTTATCCATTGAACTGGCCATTTCAAATCAAAACTTCTAAACACAAATCAAACCATCATCCTTGTAGAATCTTTCACAGCAGTGGGCTAAAGATCCTGGTTTTGTTGACAGGATTTCTTGGTTCTGGAAGAACAAGAGGGAAGTAGAAGCCTAACTACTTCTAGCTCACAGACCCGTCCAGTGAACAGAGCTTTGTATTTTGATGGGCTTGTGATGACTTTGAAATCAATTGGTCATTACAGTAAAAAAAATTAATGTTTTTTTGAACGTGACAGCAGAAATAACTTTAAGCACCAACTTAATAATAATAGATCACCAATTTAAGTTAAAAATTCATGCTATACTATCAAAATTTAAAGGTAAATGATTATGTATTAGGTGATGGTATGAAGTGTATGTTCTAATGTGTAGGATGTATGCAAAGATACATACATACCTGAAAGTCCTTAGAGGAAACAAATTTTTATGTTTGCTGTCTGACTGTTTATCATACAATATTTGTTTTTATTTCGCAGGGCTCGGTGAATTTTAACTTTGGAGTCCTCTATGCTAAGGATGCTCAGCCTGCAGATGATGAAATGTTCAGTAATGGTGAGTTTTTCACTTTCTCTTTAATTGCTATGCTGATCTGAATAAGAAAAAAACAAAAGCAAGAGGAAAAAAAGAGGATGGTTTATTATTTTTTACACTGTTATGTTTGTTTCCTCAGTATTTGCTGCAGCTCTGCTTACCCAAGCTTTGGGTTCCTTCTGTCCCACTGGGAGTTGCCCAATTTGGTTGCATCTGGTGAAATTCACCCCGAGACCTTACAGAACTAGCTCAAACTACGTGAGAGCCATTTGCAGTTCTCTCCACACACCTGGAGAATGGGTGACGTTTCTGAGGATGTGGCAACTGTACTTCTATCAAAACTCAGTCTGTGAAATTTCTGGGGAAAACCCTTCTGTGTCCTGAAGGGTTCAAACTCTGCTGAGGATCCAGTTATCAGGTGCTCACCTGGATGGTTCCAGCTCTTAAAGTGAACACTTGTACTCTTGCCCTGTAGTTTACATCCATTGTATTTTTGTTATTTTGCAAGATTTTATGTCTTTGCAAAATATTGTGCATTTTGCTCTTTGGAACCTCTCAGATTGTTCTTTGGTGTAGCGCCACCTCATGGGACACTTGGCTGCTGTCCTAAAGGAGATGGTCGCTAGAATTGTAAATTCTGGAGAGTTTGTAAGTCTTCTGTCCCCAGGGAGCTGCCATGCTTTGTTTACTTTTGTTCTGTTGGTTAGGCGCTGCTTCTCATTGCAAGTATGAATTTCAAACTACCCTGTTCTCTTTTTAACTGTTTTCCTGGTTCTCTCCGTACGGCAGGGAAAGACTCTCGTATCCTTGTCTTCAGGCTCGGTGCTGTCCACGAAGATACGGAGACTAGAAAAATCATAAGAAGCGAAATATGACTGCAGGGAAAACAAGCTGGAGAGAACAAAAGGTGATATTGTTATCCTTACCCTGTGTTAGAAACATCCACTGTGCTTTGATGCTGGCAGCTGCCAGGGGCTTGTTAGCTCTTTTTAGGCAGGTGTAGGTGCTCGCTTGTAGGTTTTTTCTCTGGACAAGTCAATTCAAACTTTGCTAAGCTTATATTTGCAGATTACTCTCTAGCACAGTCCAGCATGACATTTTTGAATGCTGTAAAAAAAACATGTTACTTGGAAATTGCTAATGATGAGAAGCTTTAGGGGAAAATAAGATTTCAGGGTTGGGAGACGTGAGAAGAATTTTGTGGGGATGTTAGACTGAAGTAAAGCACACTTTAGGCTGGACTGGCACGCTGGCAGGTCCCCTATTAAACAGTAGTGCTGAGATTAGCCTGGGGGTTGCCCATTGTTTCTGTAGAAATCAGTGTTTCCTGGTCTTCAGAAGTAAGCTGCTTTGAAAAGCTGGAAGGTGCAGCATGGTGACAATCCGTGTGCTCTGGATTAAAAGTAGATTTCAGAAGGGTGCTAGGCTTTTGTCTTTTCCTCGAAGCCGATGTAATCCTATTGAGGAGTTTTTAATTCTGTGCTGCCACGTCATCGATCAGGGCCCTGTCGTACTAATCATCATACAGATACAAAACAAAAAATCGGACCCTGTCCCAACCACTTAGAGCCCAGAACACGATTTCCTCGGGCTGCCATTTGTGTGCCATCGGCACTCACCACGGAAGCGAGCTGGGGATTGTTGCAGCTGCTGGGAACAAACCGCTCCTCGTCACACAGGAACGGAATTGGGACGACGCCTCGGCCAGCCCCTCTCTGCCATCGTCTCCTGAATCTGCAGCAGAGCAGTTCCGGTCCATCCGGGCACGTGTAATCCAGTTCCCGATGATCTGAGCGCACGGAGCAGCGCTCCGCTGCCGTGGGGGGCTCAGGGAAGGCAGAGTGTGCATTGTCATCTTCCTGAACCTGCAGACGAATCCAAGTGAGAAGCCACAGGGTGGAAATCAGTCGCATATATGCTAAACGAAACTTGCAGGTTTTTTTTTAAGAATTGTTTCTGCTTGTTCTTTGTTGTGCTTCAGCGCTTAGAAAACCTCTCTTTAAAATCAGTTCAGTTCATCAGTTGAGCCTTTGTTTGCAGACCCTCAGTGAGCAGAATTTGTTGCAGACTCAGTGCACGCTGTGCCGGCCTCCCGGGAGTGTGAGGAGCTCACGTGTGCTGCTTTTTGCTTTAGGACGCTCTGAGGTATTTATTCCTTTTGGGATACATGATGAGAATTGCCAAGAGACGTAGTTACAAGGTATGACATGGGGAAAAAGCCTGTGTGGTTGGAATGTTGTTGCTGTCAAAAGTTAATTTTTCCTTCTTTCTTAGCCAGTAGTTAGCTTTTTGCTTAATTTTTGTGGTATCATTATTTTATTGTTTAAAAAATTCCTTCAAAATCACTTTGGTGGTTGGTGTTGGCCACCAGTACCTTGTTCAGATTTGCCTATTTGCTTGTAGCTAAAATGTTCACATCTTGTTTATCATTCTATTTAAGAAACTGCTGCCCAGCCAACTAATAACTGAATATGCATCTGTCTGGGACACGGAGAGAGGATTTAGGTAATGTCTTTGTTTCCAGAAAAAAGTTCCAGTGTAGTTTCTAAATAGAGGAGAAGGGGATGAAGACTCGGGGCTCTGATGCCATTGGGGCACCCCAAGGACCCCAGGAGAGGGAGCCCCGCTGCAGTGCAGGAGCAGGTATGTTCTCATGTAATACTGAACAAATTATAAATATAAATATGACAATTATAAGCATGAAAATATTTTTTAATATAGTTAAACAAAGTGGGTTTTTTCATTTGTCAATAGGCAGTGTTTTGATTGTAAAAATTATAACTACAAATAATATAAAGGGAGAAATCTAAGTATAGAAATAGAAATATATACAGATATATATAAAATTTAAACCTATAAGAAAAAATTAGTTGTAGCAGTAGATGTGATACCTAATATAAATAATAATTTAAATACTTTCCTAGAATTTTGTATCTATTATATATAATTATGAATATAATGCATCAAAAGAAACTATAAATATAAATGTGAATATAATTATACAAAAGTATAAAAATATTTCAATATCGTTCAAAAGAAGGCTTTTTTTGTGTTTATTTGGTTAGAGACGGGGGTTTTATTTGGAATAATAGAAGTATTATGGAAGTATAAATCTAAATATAGAAATATACAGTCAATAAAGAAAGGTATTTATAAGAACACGACTGAACGACGCCGCCTTCGGCCGAATGGAACGAGCTCAGCCGAACCAAGGCGAGACCGGCCGAACCTGACGGGCTCGAGCGAACCGAGGCCAGGCTTGCGAGGCTGCCTGAACGGAGCCGAGCTCAGCCGAACCGAGCCCGCCGCTCTCGTGCGCGCTAATTAGCGCGAGTGCGGTCACAGCCCAATGAGCTCCTGTGCCACCCCGCGCTCCCGGTCGTGTCGGTGCGATGGCCGGGCCGCCCGCGGGACGCGGCAGCAGGAGCGCCCCGAGCCGGGCGAGTTTAACGTGAGGCGGCGCCGCTTGCCCGCCGTCGGGGAGGCGAGCCGAGCCGAGCTCAGCCGAACGCGCAGAGAGCGGCTCCGAGTTGGGCCGAAGCGCGCCGAAGGGACGAATGCGGCCGCCAATAGCCGAGTTTAGCCGACAATAGCCGAGTTTAGCCGAAGAGCCGACTGGAGCCGAGTGACTCCGGAGCGAGCCGAGCTCCCCCGAGCGCAGCCTCCCGGGCAGGGCGAGGCGCCGGGCCGGGCTCGGGGTGCAGCCGGGGCTCTGTGAGGCTTCCCCGCCTGTCCCTCTCTCTCGCCCTCCTTCCTTCTCCCCGTATTCGCCTTCTCTCGCTCCCTTTCCCCCATTCCCTCTCCCCCCACAAGCCCGGCTCCTTCCTGTCCGGCCCCTTCCCCGCTACTCCCTTTCTCTTCCCCGTTTCTGCTTCCTCTGTCCACCCTCCCTCTACCCCCCTCCCGGGCTTTCCCTTCCCGTGCCGCTTTCCTGCACGGCCCGCCCTCCCTCGCCGCCCTTTGTCATGCCCTGCTCTCGCTCCTCTCTTCCGGTGCCCGCTTTCCTTCTTTGCCGCGCAGCCGCGGGGCTCGGGGTGCCGGAGAATGAAGGCCCGAGGGTATGGGGAGTCATCCGTGGTGCTGTTAACACAGTCAGAATGGCTCAGTGACTCCGTGCCAGGCTGGTGTGGCCTCAAAGGCTGCCCCTGCTGCTGGCAGAGTGTGTGAAGCGTCTGCTGAGCGGGCAGCGGCATCCCCCCGAACACCTTCTCGCAGCAGGGACGGAGATGGACCCAGCCCAGCGCGTGGAAATGGATCGCTCCAGCTGAACGCTCAGGTGAAGCGAGCAGAGAGCGTGCGCAGCATGAACCAGGTGAGCTGCACGTCTCCAGGGTAATGATTCTTGCACCTTCAGAGCCACAGTGTCGCTGAGCTTTTTTTTTCCCCAGGCTTTCCATCACCTCTCAAACAGACGAATGCTCCCCTTGGAGGCTGCTGTGCCCTGGGGAGCCTGGCAGGTGGCCCCGTTGGTGGGAGGAGGGCAGCTGCAGGCAGGCAGCCCCCAGGAAAACACGGGAGTTTCAGTGGTTTCTGATGCCTGAGGAACGGGGAGATGGCGTGAGCTGAGCAGGAGTTAAGCATGGTCGTACAGAGGCCTGGCTGTTATGATTTAAGATGGCTTATTGAATATCTGTAGTTTCTATAGATATTTGTATATCTGTCCAAGTAGGATATAGAGCCTTGTGCAGGAGAAAAAGAACTCTTGATGTAAGATATGACCTGGGGGAGGCATCATGCCAGGCTATCCCTTCCAGATTTGGACGGCTTCAGTGTCTTGTGTGGCATGATGGGAAGTTCTGAAAATTAAGATTTCCTCTTTGGTGCGGGTCAGATGGGTGACGCCTGGCAGCTCGTGCACTGCCACTGTGCTAACCTGTGTGCCTCTCCTTCCCTCCCTGCTCCACAGGCAGCGCAACACGGGAGCAGCAGGGAGAGCTGGCTTTGTCGTGGAGGATCCAGGAGCTCGCGGTGGATATCTGAGCCTGCAGCTCCAGGCTGCCGCAGGACACAAGGGCTGCACACACCCAGAGCGTACAGGTACTGTCACAAACGTGGGCTGTCGTGGCTGAGCCCTCAGGAGCTGGCGGTGCCAGCTGGGAGAAGAACAGTAACTTCCAGCCTTTTCTTTTGTCTGCGTTTCCCCGTGTTCAGTCAGTCTGATTACTTCTGGGCATTTGCCCAGCAGGGTGTGAAATGCTTCAAGGGCTAAAGGGGGCAAAAAAGGGAAA